CCCCCCCCTCCCCGGTGGGTGCCCATTTCCCTTGCGTTTTTTCAAACTTATAATGACACTGTCCAAGATGTCCACTTATCTAAGACAAAACACTTTTCACCACCTGGATTATGGGTAGCCGTCTTGGACAATTTCGACTGCACATGTACGACAAAACGCAGTTGGCCAACCTGTTGGCAACTTGTGGACAATAGAAATAAGAAAAGTTGTGGTCACTTACCCACTCACTCATCACTCATTAATTCGTTTTTACTTACCCACCCACTTATCCACCCACATCCATCTATCTACTCACATGCTTAGTAAGCTATACATGTATCATAGCAATGTTCGTGCAGCACGCTTCTCTTATTTCCATTGTCCATAACTCAGCGACAAAACTGCTGGACAAAAGTTTGGTCGTAGTTCAGTACAAGGCTTAGCGAGGTTACCAAATAAAATAGTTTTTTACAAAAAAATTAAAACAAAATAATCAGGACAACGGCGTAAACCGTGAACGTTCCAGGCAGGACCAGACAGACAAACCACCGCCATGATATTGCAATAAAAATGGAAATTTCGTAACACGATCAAGAGAGCGAACCCTGGCCGGAACACGCGTGCCATCTGAAGCGATAGAATGGCCACACCCACACTCCGGAAGAGAGGACTAGAATTTAAAAACGTTTGTAGGTTTGGGTAAAGAGAAGCACATGGACACAATAATGGTCATTTACTGCTGGGAAAGAACAGGACAGACAGACAAAAACAACAGCAGGGAAAGTATGTACATAAGTAGGACCTATCAAAAGCCCTCCAACCACCCGCCCGAAAAACGTATGTGGTTTGACGTATAAAGATCAATTAAGCCGTGTCGGTTGCTCGCAAAGGTTATGCAGCTAGAGCCCCTAAGAGACGGGGAGAGGGAGACAGGGAGGGAGGGAGGGAGGGGGAGAGGAGGAGACAGACAGACAGACAGACAGACAGACAGACAGACAGACAGACAGACAGACAGAGGATGTGGGGAGGGGGGGGCAGTCAGCCCAGCGGAGGCAAAGCTAAACAAATAAATTTGGATCAGGGCGACGAAACCTGATTACACTATCGAACCGCAGCACGAAAAAAGAATAATTTACTATTTTCATCGTGTCCTGGGAACGCCCGTTGTCTGGACGGTCTGAAAACGACAACGTTCCGGATTTTATCTATAAAAGACAATGTTTCACAGTTTATCTATTTTCTCGGAATCTGAGTAAATTGTCTTTACTTCTTGAACGAAGTGACAACAACAACGTCCCATATTAGTTATCTATAAATGACGATGTTTCACACATATATATCTGTTATCGCTAAATCTGATTAAAATTCTCTTTGCTCAGGTAAGATGGACGGATGGATGGATGGGTAGATAGATGAATGGGTGACTGAAAACATAAGACGAACAGAACAATGGTTGGGCGGATAGATAGACGGGTGGATGGACAGACATGAGTCTACAGTACAGAAAGACGGTCAGAAGGGCGAATAATATGCAGATGATTGGATAGATAAATGAATGAACCCAATAAAAGCAAAGGGAAGGACGGGAAGACAGAATAATTAACATTAACAGGGAGGGGGGAGGGAGGGAGAGAGAGAGAGAGAGAGAGAGAGAGAGAGAGAGAGAGAGAGAGAAACATGGAGGCTGTCAACAGAGGAACAGACAATGGGTTGTCATCTCACCAAAAAAGTAGCGGTCTGAATTCTCCTTGTCTGTCAGCAGTGGTGCTCTACACTGAAAGCGACGCACAGATCTGAGGAGGAGACAAATATACGGGGTAAGTCTCGGGGATGGCATGACAAAATATTGACATGTGTAACAATAGAGTGTGTTTTTTTGTGTGTTTGTTTGGGTGGGTTTTTTTGTTGCAGTCGTTGTTTTTGGTTGTTTGTTGTTGTTGTTGTTGTTTCGTTTGCTGGTTGTTGTTTGTGTTTTTTTTGTTGGGGGTGGGGGTGGAGGGGGGTATATATTAATACATCAAGTTGTTTTTTTCTGCCAGTTACTTCATATCAGGGGTTGTCTCACCAGGGTCCATAAAAACATTAACATTTAAGAACACATTTGTTTAGCTGTAATTATAAAAAATAGTTTACAACATTTAGATAGATAATACAGGAGGTTAGCAGCGTCGACCTTGCTCGCCAGGGCCAACCCTGACTGAGAGGGACGCATAGTCCCAACAGACCAGACAATGACACCCAATTAACGTGTGACTGGTAAGAGCCTCAACCAGCTAATGATGGAGACAATCAACCAGGCCACACAGAAATGGACCCTCGTGAAGAGGGGCGAGGAAGCATGGAGCACCACGTCTTCCTAAGACCCCAGGTTCTAGATTCAAGTAATTCAAGTAATTCAAGTAATGCTAAAAGCCTGACCGTTACACCACAGACACCGGTACACATTGTCTAGAAACATCGAGATTGACCTGGCACTAAGCTGCAAACAATTGTCAGTGTTCAAACAAAAATATTCATCTACTTGTATTCCCTTCCCGACTGATTCAGCAGTTGGAACAAAGCCAGTTTCGGAAATGATATTATGTATGCTCCGTGTCCATAGACCAACTCAACAAGTTCTTATTGACTTCAGTTAGCGTTATTACATGTATAACTCAAAATCAAATCGTGTCTCTGTAAGGAATGAGGTAGGCCAACGCCTGAAAGTCGTGTGCTATCTGCCCGACTAGAGTGAAAGGAGATCGGAAGCGTGCTTTAAGGTCACGAACAACTAATCATTGTTTGTTTAGTATTAGTGACAGTTTTGCGGCATTTGCAACACAATTAGGTGATATAACTGTCGAAGATTGGAGGTGGTACATGAGAGTAACTAACACAAAAAGAAGGAGGAGAGATAAGGAGATAGATGTTTGATAGCAAACATGGAACAAACCACACCAGGGCACCCGCCAACCACCTATTGATAATGTTGACTATAAAGTATTTTCTATCCACCCGTAGGCCCGTCCATTACGCACATTATCACTTTTTTCTGACAAAAACTCACAATCAAGTCTAAGGTGATGCAGATAATTTTTTTTTTCATTTTAAAAATCTTTGTCGTAAAGCCACACACTGACATATCATAGAACACGTAAGAATACATCTGCGTTCAAAGCGATCACAACATGACTCGAAACAGACAAACAAACAGGCAGAAAAACAATTTTAAGGACTGGGGGAAGCGGTCATAAATCTTCCCAGAGCCGGGGACGAGCTCAAAGGCTCGTTTAACAGTAAAATTATTATGTTATCTTTCTTCCCAGCAGCCTCCGGCTATATCCCACGCATCAGGGGGCCGCATTGACAAAACCTAAGAGGCTTTGAAATCGGCGCAACACCTCTAGTTTGAATGAATGTTTGAAAGAAGGTGTTCTTGCTAACCCATTGACACAACAACTTATATCATTGAAGAGGAGGCGGTGCCCGTCTGGTCTTGTTGCCATATGAAGCGGGGAAGACAGGAGGTGAGGGAAGGTGTTGTTGTTGTTGTTGTTGTTAAAACTGTTGTTGATGTTTTTGTTTTAGTAGAGGTTTTACGGCGCTCGCAACTGCATAAGGTCATATGAGCGCCAGAAGATTAGAGGTGTTACAAGAGAGTAACAAACATTAAAAAAAGAAGAAGGGGAGATAAGGACGATAGATGTTTGATAGGAAAGAAGAAGCAAACCACACCAGAGCACCCGCCAACCACCCACAGGTTTGAGTTCGAGTTTGAGTAAAGAGAAGCACATGGACACAATAACAAGTCATTCCGAGCAAAGGAAGAAGCAAGACAGATAGACAGAAACAACAGAAGGAAAAGGAAAAAAAAGTAGGACCTACCAATGGCGCTCTCCAACCACACATCTCACTCCGTTGTGATAAAGGGTTGAGAACAAAAACATCCCGGAAAAGACGAAAGAGATTCTAACTCCCCATTAGGATTGGAACCCTGAACCCTATAGGCTGTTGGTCAAGTTGGTAAAACAACCACCCCTAACCCCCTACTGCGACACGCACTTAAAATCCGTCAATAATTCAGCTATAGTGTAAATTTACTTGCTTGTGGTCTCGGTCTCATACGTGGAGAGTTGGGAGTGTGTGGCTCGTTAGCGGAGGACCAGCCACGGTGAAGCATTAGTACATCATTAACGGGGCAGGGGGGAAATCGTTGTTGGGACCACCGATAATGAGAAGTGGGCAGAAGGTTCATAGATGATCGATTCACCTACTTTCGAAAGATTGATGGGGGGGAGGGGGTTGATTTTTTTTTCTTCGATAGCCTCATCGGATATGCGCGACAATCAATAACCCGGGGGACGGAGAGTAAGTTCAAAACGATAAAACACCTTGCAGCGTCAACATTTTATTGCTGGGAGTTGGTTATTGTAAACCAGTCATTCCATAAAATACAAAAATCTATTTTTCAAAACGTAAAAAATGCTTATACGTTATTCACAGCTTGCCTTCACTGATATGATATTCTCGAAAAGTATCTTCACCTATAATATGATAGTATCCAACGGGTCTCATATTATTCGGGAATAATAAATAGGGGGGTCAGTTGTCAGTTATGAAAGCAGACTTTAAGTGACAATATTTTACAAGGCTACAAGTACACAACAGTATAGAAAAAAACAACAGTTCAGCAATGTACAGTGGAGACAAAAACATAAAAGAGAGAATAAACGCACAGTCATTACGTTTTGGTAAGTTTTACGGCACTTGCAAAACAAGTCATAAGTGTCGAAGATTAAAGGTGGTACTAGATGGCAAAGAAATGTAGAAGAGATGAGTATAATGGAACTATAGATGTTTGAAAAAAAAGGAGGACCAAACAACACCAGAGCAGCCACCAACCCCCCACAAAAACGCAGAGACGGGAGGAAGAAAGAAAGAGAGAACAAAAATGATAAGAGCTTTTCTTTTCTTTTTTTCAGGGGGGGGGGGGATAAAAAGAGAATAGAAGCTACTCCAAGAGGATAAAAAAGAACGGGGTAGTAAGGGGACTGGCGACAAAACAAGAACAAAATAACCAAAGAAAACAGGTGGGAGCTTATGAGATTGAGTTAGAGAATCACATCGACACAAGAACAGCCATATAGTGCAGGGGGAAAGCAAGACGTATAGACTGAGGCAACTGAGGGGAAAGAAAAGAAAGAAGTAGGACCTTCCCGTGGCGCCCTCCAAGCACCAATTATGCACATACGTAAAGGCTCAAACAACGCATCGAACAGAACCTAGACGAGAAAACTACCTAGCTCTCTGTTTTGTACATTACGAAACTCTTTACAGCACGTTGACCTCGGGGGCAAAATCCTGACTTATCCCAACCAAGATGCAACCATAACTGAATACACGGAGCACAGTGACAAAATACACACGCAAGAAGTATAGTGTTTCCTTTCAAGCACGACCTGAAAAGCTGATGGAATCTACTTTGTATGGCGTGCCCTCGCCACATTTTCGTTGCTGGTGTCTGAGGTGTAGCGGTTATGCGCTTCACGGACGCATGCAGGAGACACAAGTTCGATTCCCGAGAGAGGCGGGTTGGGTTGGGGGGGGGGGCATTTTTATCGAATATCTCGGTCTTTCTACCGGGATGTTGTGTCCCTCTCACTCCGGGTTGGCTCTGACTGGCAGGCCTCCTAAATTATCTAAACTGTTTGAACATAACGAAACTCTTTACAGTGTGTTGACTTCCGGGGCAAAATCCTGACTTCTCCCAACCAAGAAGCAACCATAACAGAATACAAGGAGCACAGTGACAAAACACACACGCAAGAAGTATAGCGTTTCCTTTCAAGCACGACCTCAAAAGCTGATGAAATCTACTTTGAATGGCGTGCCCTCGCCACATATTTGTCACCAGCGTCTGAGGTGTAGCAGTTAGGCGCTTCACCGACGCATGCAGGAGACACAAGTTCGATTCCAAAATTGGCGAGAGGACATTTTCATCGTTTTTTCAGTTTTAGTAGAGGTTTTACGGCGCTCACAACTGCATAAGGTCATATGAGCGCCAAAAGATTAGAGGTGCTACAAGAGAGTAAAAAACATAAAAAAGAAGAAGGGGACATAGGGACGATAGATGTTTGATAGGAACGAAGGAGCAAACCAGAGCACTCGCCAACCACCCACGGACATTTTTATCGAGTATCTCTTGTCTTTCTACTGAGATGTATCCCTCTCAGTCCGGTCTGCTCTGACGGGCACGGTCTTTTAGTTTTAGTTTTAGTAAGAGTTTTACGGCACTTGCAACACAATAAGGTCGTATAAGTGCCGAAGATTAGAGGTGTTACAGGAGAGTAACAAACACAAAAAAGAAGGACGGGAGATAAAGACGATAGATGAAGATGTTTCTTAGGAAGGAAGAAGCAGCAGGGTCGGAAACAAGCCTCCTAAATGATCGAAGCGTACAGATAGGGGCGTAAAAATACCTACCTTTAAAAAGTATGTAAAGAAGCAAGACCTACCAGCAGCGCCCCCCAACTACCGATCCCATGTAAAACAGGTGGTTGTTCAAAACAAACATATGATATGTAACAAGTACAGATGAATTACATAAAAGAATCGATATTTATGAAAGTATTGGGATGTATTCTCATGAATTGGAAATACGACAACCTACGCGTGTTAACAGACCAAATTCAAACGTAGCAAGCTAGTGATAACTTGGCAGTAACGTGCGCAGTATTGTTTTACAAAAGAAAGCTCGCATAGCACAGGACGTCTTTAAATTTATTCAGTTGTTACCTTTCGGTGGGCATCATTA